GGTATAGCTCAGTGTTGTATTTGGTTCCATTGATTGTTCTGTGACTATGAGGGGGTTCTTTTAGTCATAAGTTTTGCTGTTTACTTGAGCTGAGAAATCTAAACAATAAATCCAGAAACTGTAGAACAGAAAAAAGAAACTATGCAACATATTAATATATTTAAGTAGGAGTTGTGCCTTCTTTGATATTTGCTTTTGGATGGTCGGATGACTAGGCTAATTGCACCACTAGCCACTTTTATTGGTGTATTTTAAAATATAGTCATAGTATAAATATTTGTTTAATTGCAGCCAATTTCACACACACACAACTTGAGCTCAAAGACCAAACATATCACCAAGAAAGGAATTTAAGTTCCAATTTCTACACTATCAAAGGATGTGGTCCATTGGATGGATGGAGCTGCTTTTTTTTTTAACCAGAGGTTTCGGTTTGAGCTTTGGGTATGAAAAATTCTTGCTAGGGAGCGCTTCCTTCCGAATCCAATTTCTACATAATTTTGTTTCGTTTTAGCTTGCAAAAGTTGCAACAAGAATTAGAAGCTAGAAGATTTTACAAAGTTAATTGAAGTTGCATTGTGTCTCTTGTTCTCAAACTTTTTGGATGATATGAATACAACAATAATATAATAGATTCAGTATAATTTTATAAGTGGCGTTTAAGAAGAGTAAGATGTACACAACTTTACCTCTACCTATATGGTATAGTTTACCTCTACCTATATGGTATAGGTAGAGAAGTTGTTTTGCAATTGACCTTCAACAATTTTCCTCGTTTATTCGAACTTGGAATCGACAATGTGAGCGAGCTTATACACACTGAGTTAATAGAAATGAAGTTGAGTCCTATTGACAATTCATCTCACCAAATCATAGTTAGGGTATGCATATACATCAGAGCCCTAAAGTTTCACTGTCATATGCCACTTGTTTGTTTATGGCTAGATTTGCAATAATTTTTAAGTTTGACTAAAATTTAAATACTGACCACAAATGGGACTACTAATGTCATTTCTACTGAATGACTTTTGTCACCTACCAAGAGCCAAGAATATTTTCATTAAATTTCATTTTATATTTTTTTTAAAAAGACAAAAACAGTCAAAAATCTAAAAAAGATTATGAGAAAATCTTGTATAATAATGATTGATGGGGAATTGGTTGAATATATATAAAGTGGGATGAGATTTAAAAAAAATGGAACAAAATGTAGTCAAATTCATTTAATAAATAAAAGCAATTTTCAAGAATCAGATGCTATTCTTTAAACCTTCAATATCCAAATCTAACCTAGGATACGAATATATCAGAAAGAATGAGTTGGGATATCAAATGATCGAGTTGAATTAAATTTAAACGAGTCAAAATAAATTGTATTTTTTAAAAATAAGCCGGGTTCTTTAAATGTTCATTGTCCAAAGGTACTCTTGGATACAAATATGTCAAAGAAAATAATTTTAAAAAAACGAGTTCTGCCAAAAAAAAAATCGTGAATTTATAAGGGTGATATGTTTAGCACAAATCACCTCAACTTTTAAATGGACTGAATTGAATGAAATTAATAAATGGACGAGCAATTTGCCCCTCCAAACTTATACAAGTTGAACGAGTCATGTTTTTATCAACTAACTTTTTCACTCCTTGAAATAAGAAATACTTGATTCATAGGGAACTACAAAAAAATCTTTGAAATATTTTTAAAAAAATTGTAATTCTATTAAAACATCTAATACTGAAATTTCATTTTTTTTTAAAAATAAATAATCTAGGAATCAATATCTAATTTTTCATTGTCTTAAAAATCTTATATTGATTTGAAAAAATCTATTTATGTTTATAAATTATAAATTCTAATTCTAAAATAGTAAAAATTTAAAATTTATAAACATCAAATCATAAATCGACATCTTGTTAAAAGATGATTAGAATTGACCTTACTGATTTACTTGCCCAACCAAAAACAGAAGTGGGTCTAACTTGATTTGTCCAAATTCCAACAATGATGCCATGTCACTTCACTATACAAATTATTTACTATGAAGAGTATGATTCTTTCCGAAGAAAGGATCTCTTATGATACTTACAAATTGAATAAACGAAATTTTTTTTAGATTCGCGACATCAAACGTGTAAATAATTATAAAATCCAAATTAAAAAAATCGCTTTTTCAAATAAACAATGAGTAATATAACTATCCACAATTATGTTTTTTACTTTTTCGAGATTAGCTTTTACACGTTTGGGTAGAATATTTTCATACTATTAAATTACCTAAAAGAAAATTAAAATTATTTATTTGTAAGTAAATTAATGAGCTTAAAAATACTTATAGGTTTAAAGTATGTTTAAAGATAAAATAATTTGAATTTGTCTATCTTTTAGTTACATATTTTTTCTTATCCAAAGTTTGTTCACTAATTAACACCACACAATAATCCACCAATTAAATATATATTAAAAATAATTAAATGAAAACATCTTGTAAGTTGGGACCAAAAAAGTATACAAAAAATAAATAAATAAAATAAATAATAAAGATCTGTATTGCTATGGTCAAGTAAACTATGTAAATTAAAAAATAAATACTTTAGGTTTGATTATTAATCAGATTTGGAAGTATGTGGATTTAATTAAGTCATCTAGTCATTAATTACTAATTTTTTTGTTTGTAATGGTCGGTTAATTAGTTTACTTTCTTAAAACCTTAATTTGACAAATGTATAGATAATAATGATTCAGAATTTCATAATGATATTTAATTTACGGAGAAGGGCGTAAAATATCCCTTAATTAATTAAATTATATAAAGTTATCTTATGTATGCCTTTTGGTCTCCAAATATCTTTGCCGTCAATTTCTTTTTTACTCAAAAATATACACGATGTGCATACTATTACCAAGTCGATCTATTCGGCTGAAAAACAAGACAACACTAAACTACATAGTAACTATCAATCTTGATTTGCGATGTCCTTAACCTCATACATATCTATTATTTTATTTTATATCCTCCGTAAATTGAAGATGCGTCGTTCACTATGATATTTGTGCACCTCCTCTTAATCACATGCTTAAACCATCTCAATCTCGCTTATTTCATAGTGTCGACCATATAAATCTCTTCCTTCTTATCAAGAATATAAAATTTAAAATTTATCAAAATCAAATCATAAATCTGCATTAGTTATATCATATATATGAGCGTTTGAATCTAATCTCTATATTATAAAGAACATTTTTTCAATAAATTATCGTTAAAAAACGAGAATTCGAGAAATTTCAATCTTCTCTTCGTATCTCAATTGATTAGCTACCTAATATTTAACTTTATCGGTGAATGTTCGATTCTTCAGACTGTTAATCCCCTCCCTTATTTTTCTTTTCTTGACCCATAATTTTAAATTTTGTCTTTTAAAAAAAGGTGAAGGCGTTGAAAACTTGAAAAAACCCTTCTCAGATGCCTAAATAGAAAAAGCTGAGAAAGAAAAACATAAAACGCATTCGGCGAATACAATTTATATATAAGTTTCAGTCTCTTCTTATTTATAGTATTAAAATTACTTGATTACCCTTTCCATTTAATTTTATTTGTCCATTATTTTTAAAATACATCTATTACCTTTATCATATTAAGAAAAAATAATTATTTTTTCCATTTATATACTCAATAATAATTATGTACTTATTTTTTTTTAAATCCTTCGTACCTCCATTTATTAACTACCTAATATTTAACTTTATCGGTGAACCTTTGATTCTTCACTTTTCCACGAGGTAAAAAAGACACTTGATTGCATTAGTGAGCAAGGTGGGGCATATGAGATTGAAAACACTATACGTGGAAGGCAAAGATTGGTTGGAGTGTACACTTCAAACCCAACAAAAGCTGATTCGAATCCAGCAAGTGGAGCCCCACTATCTATCATGGACCAAATTCACCATCAAAGACGAATTCAGAATTTAATAATTTTAAATATGTTAAAAATTATTAATTCATATTAAACCGATATCTTAACACTACATAAACAATAGCATAATCATATATAATGATAAATAATCAATTGAATATCCTTCATTATATAGATCACAAATTATTTTTGATACGTATGAAATTTCTGATTTCGCCATCGTAGGCTGCTACTTTCCTCATCAATGTCCACTTGACATATATCTTATCCTATATAAACATACTATATAATTATGGTCCCCAGATAGATGACCCATATTTCCACTTATATTATCTTTATTGTCCTCCCATTACATTATCACCACCCATTTATTCTTTTTTTTAACTGAAAATAAATTATATTTTGACCTTTATTAGTGGAGAATAACCAAGAAAATATTAACATAAACAATTTTATTGTTAAATTTGACTACAAATATATTTAAATCTTGCATATTATATTTAAAGAGGTAGGCTTCTTTTCAAGTTTTTAAAGTCAAATCCCTAATAAAGTGAAATGATAAAAAAAAAATCTGAAATAAAACGAAAAATCCCAAGTTCATTGATTGTATTGTACTTGCTATTTTATGTTATTTTATATATATATACTCCATGTCTGACCCATATAAAAACCCAACTAAATTTAAATTCACTAAAAAATCTCATATTAGGGATTAAAATACTTTCTAACAAAAACAACTTCGCATTACAAAAACTCCATATTAAATTCAAACTTAAAACTTCAAATTAAAGACGAAAAAGTACTTAGAACTCTAACAACTCCGCATTACAAAGGAAACTCCACATTTAATTCAAACTTAAACTTTAAATTAAAGACGAAAAATACTTAGAACTCTACCACGACCTGATTAGTACACTTGTCAACTTAATTGATCACTGAAGTCATGATAAAGTTTATAATTTATATAATTAAATACATAAATTAATTTATTTATTTTAAATTGAAGGGGGTCGAATAGTGTGTGCATCACACATTTCACATCAACTTTGAGCCAGCTGTTGTCCAGTAATTACAATAATAATAAACAAAAATAAAAATATGATTTTGTATTTTCTATATTTCACATAAAATCTGGGACAGTTGGAGAGAAGATCCACCTCTTTACAATTTCCATCTCCATTTCTCTAAAATATAGTAATAATAATAATAATAATAATTAGCATTACTAATCATCAACATAGGCAGCTAAATCAGCTAAACTAATAAATCAAAACATCATCTTCAATCTTAGCTTCATTAGCACAACCCATGCTAATTAAAACCTAAAATTAGAGTTTCCCCTTAATTATACACTTGATTAATTAATTAAAATTAAAACTAGTACTAATCACCATCATAATGTTATACATTTTTTCTCAAATCCACCACCACAACACTAACATTATCACTACTGTGCCTAGCCAAGGCTAATTTCGTCAACAGAATTGATGCATCTGAACAGGCCTTGTCGGAGCTTTCTCCGGCGCCGGTCACCGTAATGTCATTTCCCGGTGAACCCGCCGGAGACGGTGGCCGTCTCGATTGCAAACACATACGTGCCACGCCACACGCGGTCTCGTTCGATACCACGTCCCATAATCCGTCACTGGCTAATATCAAACACTCGTCTTCGTTGGTTCGATCTGTTATCGTCACCTCCGGTTCTGATATAACATATGGTTTCAAATAATTGTCGCCTGAAATAAATATTCATAAAGATGATTTAGAACATTATTCGAGTTAACATTTCATTTTTGCTTCACAATTTTAGATCCAGTAGAAGTATATGCCTACCAATTGCTCGAGACATTGCCAAAACGCCGAGAACTCTAGCTCCGTCCCAATATATAACACGGCCACCGGCTTCTTGTATCCGATTCAATTCATCAGGTCGATCCGGCTGAAAAAACACAAATTCAACATCAGTTACTTGATTTCAAAATTATTGAAACACTTATTTGAAGAAAAGAATTGAAAACGCACCTTATGATCAACGGAAAGAGGAATAGCGACGCCGTTTCTACAGAGGACGGCACGAGAATCACCGCAATTGGAGACGATGATTTTGTCCGGAGTTACAACGGCAACGACAGCAGTTGATCCAACGGCATCGCACTGTGGAGTCTGAAGCTCGCATCTACAATTGGAACCTGAGGTAGAAGATCGGAGTGTGCTAGAATAGTTGACAACTTCTTTATCCATTAGAGAAAAGCTCTGAATCATTGCTTCTTTCCATGGAGTTTCTTCCTTCTCCACCTCGTTTTTCACTATCTCGTGCATTCGATCTTTACACTTCATCGCCACCTACAAAAAAATCAAACAAGTTCAGCTAAAATTTCACCTAAATAATACCAATTCACAGTCGATTTAGGGATATTTACATGGGAACAGCCATGGCCATCGTAAACACCGAAGAAATGTAAATTGCTTGAGCTTTCACTATTCTCTTTGCAAAAAGAAGGATGAATTGCAACCGCATCTTCCATATCTCTTCTTCTTCCACATACCGAAGTCGCACCAAATTTGGGTAAATCAGGCTCAATTTCAACAGATTGAGAACCAGATTCCGACAGATCCAACACTTCATTATCCTTTCCTTTCTGTTCATCCGCCACCACCACCGCCACCGGCGGAGGTGACAACGAAATCGTTACACTAGTTTCCAATTTCTGTCTCTTTTTATTATCAATAACTTTCTCAATCCTATGCCTTTTCCGTCCATTTTCCTGTACCGCCACCGATGCTGCAGCATCGGTGGGTACAAAACGGAACTGATGAATTCCCATTCTTCTTCTCCTTGCAGCTTCTGAACTTGGCTCAACTGGTGCAGTAGCCTCAGTTTCAGCTATATTAACCCCACAACACATCCCAGCCATTATAGAAAGAAAAAATTGAGAATAAATTCAATGTATATATTTTTTTGATATTTGTTAAGTTTACACACAAGAGGAAGTAAGACTCATAACTCATAAATTGAAAGCTTTATTTTGGTTAATAATAATAACGGGCAAGCTGCCCTTTATTGCCCGTCACCGTCTTTGGGCAGAATGAGACACGTATTACTATTGTGACATATGATTCTGCGGATAAAAAAAAGTATGATCACGACCGTCCATTTGTTTCACAGATAGAAACCACGTGTGAAGCAGATTTTATTGTTTTGAATTTACGTGGGCCAATGAGAAGTGGACACGATGTAGCTTGCTGTTCTGACACGCATGTGGCCTGTAGGACAACCACACGCCGATTATTCGACTTTTTCTTTCTTTTTAAGGAGGAATACAATACGTGGCAACATATTAAGATATCATATCTGTGTTCCACACGCCTTTCCTAGCGTTTGAATACCACCTTCCTAGGTTAAAGGTCAACTCCGTTCCACTTGTACGGGTCAGATTGTTTGGTATGAGAGATAAGATAAATAATACTCCCTCCGTTTCACAAAGAATGACCTGGTTTGACTTGGCACAAAATTTAAGTAAATAAAAAAGATTTTTGAATCTTGTGGTCCTAAATTAAAGTTAAGTCAAATGTACAAAATTGCCCTTAATCTTGTAGTCTTAAACATGTCACGTGGAAAACAAAAAGTAAATTGTTACCAAAAAAGGAAAAAGGTCATTCTTTTTTAAACTGACTAAAAAGGAAAGGAGGTCATTCCTTGTGAAACGGAGGGAGTAGAAAAAAAAGATAAATATATTCCAAACTATCATAAATGGTTTGCAGATACTCTCCGTCATACTTTTGGGACATTAATGCCCCTGCCGTTAAAAAATTAGAGCATATATACCATTTATATACTAACGGACATACACATGTCATAATTTTATTCACCGACCTGACATTTATTAAATATCATATCGATTTTTCTTTTTTTTTCTTTCTAGGCCCAATAATTCGCCATCGACGGATAAGATTGTGTCACGTGCCCCTATTTAGTTTTCCGTTAGAGTGAAGGGCATATATGCTTTAGTTTTTGAACGATAGGGGTACCAATGTCTCAAATATATGACGGAGAGTATTTACATACCATTTACGATAGTTTGGAGGTATATTTATCATTTTTCCCTAAATAATATTATCATGGACATTTAACGTTATTTTTAGTTTACTGAGGATATGAATGCTACAACTTGAGGGAAAATGTTAATAGATGATAGTGTGTTTTGTTTTCTTGCTTTTTGGATGTTTAGGTTTAGTGGAGTCTACCAAGGTAATAGCTTATTTTAGTAGTGTCTTGTTTTTATTTTCTACCACTGTTTTGATTATCACATTATTTTTAATTTGTTGCTATTGCTAGTTCTATAGTAATATCTATATTTTCTGCTTTGTCATTTTATTTTTCATACTTACACTGATTGTTGTAATAATTGAAGATTTTTCAAAAGCAATCTCTCTATCTCTATGAGTTAATAATAAAAACTGTTCTTTAAATATATTATTATCGTTATTATTATAAACACAAAATAATTTATGTTGTTCAAACATAAGCTAATTGCTCGTTATAAATGATTTATAAATGATGAAGACCAACTCAAAATCAAAATTTCATACGAGTTAAAAGTTCTTTTGGTTTACGAACATAAAATTACTTTATTATTTTTCATAAAACTCAACAATATATTTATACCATCTTGAGTCACAATTTGCTGTGTGCCACAAAAAGTAGTTTTACAATACCAGAGCGTGACAAACACGTCCATAGTAATGCAAATGGAGTAAAGAGAAATAAAAAATGTTGCACTATTTCTTTTATTCCATTCACTCCAGTTGTGAAACACTAAAAAGCGTCTACGTAACAAACGGAGATATTGACTACAATTGTCGCGGTTCGATAGATGAGATATCTTCATCCTTAATTACATATTTCGTATTATAAATAATTTCATTGTGAGAAATGTGAATTTTGAAAATGCGAGATTTCAAATTTAGTCAAATTACAATATGAATGATGAATAAGCGATGATTTATCATTTTTTTAAGGGAAAAAAAACAAATATACTCCTAAATTATCGTAAATGGTATGCAGATACCTTCCGTCATACTTTTGGGATATTGGTTCCCCTGCCGTCAAAAAACTAGAGCATATATACATTTATACTAACGAACATACACATTTCATAATGATTCGACATTTATTAAATATCAGATCGATGGATAAGATTGTGTCATGTGTCCCTATTTAGTCTTCCGTTAGAGTGAAGGGCATATATGTTCTAGTTTTTGGACGGCAGGAGCACCAATGTCCCAAAAATATAACGGAGGGTATCTATATACCATTTACGATAATTCGAAGGTATATTTGTCTGTTTTTCCTTTTTAAAAATGAAATAGTAGAAATGTGGGGACCACATATGCCAACATTTGACGCTTGCGGAATATCTGAATTTTGATTATCCCAGGATGACAACACGTGTCTCTATTACGTGTCGCTGAAGATGCGAAATAGAAATTAAAAAGCCTAATTTATCCCTCAACTCGACACGTTTAGAGTTGCCACCTTCTCACCATTTTGGAAATTGTCAAAAAAAGAAGAATTGGGCAGATGTATCTATCTCTCACCACCCACCCACCTATTTGTATTAAATTATAAGTTTGTATCATCTTACGTGTCTTAAATTAGTTAGACAAGGTGTTTTCATCGTTTTATATTACTTGGTTCATGTTAAGAGCAATATCATAGTTGAAAATTTCATGAAGGGTGTCCGGATTTCGGATAGTAAATACAAATAATAGTATACTTTTCGTTCTATTTTATGTGAGGTAATTTGATTCGGAACGAAGTTTAAGAAATGAAGAAAGACTTTTAAAACTTGTGGTCTAAAATGAATGATAGAAATTTGTGTGATTATAAATAATTTAATTAAGGATAAAAATGAATATTTTAAAATTAAATTATTACTTAATATAAAAATGTGTTATTCTATTTGGAATTGACTAAAAAAAAAGGTAAGTTATATGAAATGGAATAGAGAGAGTAACTTTATAGGAACTTGATCTTGAATGCCCTGTATATTTCTGCACCCAACTGCTATCGAGCTACCGCTCACTTCACATCAATGTTATATGTATTTTTTTTAATATCTTACAAATTTTAAGCAGATCATAGTAAGAAAAACAAAATACGAAAGCAAGGAATTAAACCTGAGTGTCATGTAAGTTTCATGTATACCCTTGCCATTACGCTAGAGTCTATTGATTTTGAAAGATATTCAAAATATTATATATATCATATAAAGTAAGATTTGATCTATATATAATGTAATTTTTTAACAAAGAATGTTCAACTGGTTGAAGCTCCACCTCTGTTAAAGTGACACAACTCTTCAACAACATAGAAAACAATTATTTTCGATAAGTCCTCAATTTTTTTTAAAAAAAAACAGTCAACAATCTAGCAATTTTTTTTTATATTAATCAAAAGTGTATTTTATTAAAAATAACTTTATTAACGATGTTTAGAGTTTAGACTCTAAAACTGATTCCTATTATTTTATGTGATTATTTGATACAAGGAATAAGATGACAAAAATAATAATAATCATTTTTTGTCATTTAAAATAATATTAAATGACAACACGTCTCCTTGTGGACAAATTAATACAACTCATTTGGAATTTGATTTTCAAAGATGTCCTTATTTCATTGCTTCTCTTCTGATTCCATTCATTTTCACATTGTCTCACTGCTTTCAAATTAAAAATGTTCTAATAATATGAAATAATAATCAAATTTACAATTTCAAAGCATCATTAATAAAATGTATATATATATATATATATATAATAATAATAATAATAATAATAATAATATAAAATGGAGAGAGTATATGATATTGTCATTACTTAGGAAATTAAATTTAATGTTAATGTATCTAGTGACGGAGTCA